ATGTAAGAAGGGCAGCTGTACCCAAAGAACGAGTCATGTTTACACTTGCGCAATATTTTATTTTGTGCAGAGCAAACACACAGCCCCGTCATTCTGCTGCAATTACGAGCCGAGACGTTGACTGTTTGATTGTGGTGAATGTACCTTATACTTGATGCTGAATCCAAGCTTACAATTCTCTTTGCCAAACTCGCTGGCCGTGTACGCCATCGTCTTTTTTTCGCTGATGTCGGGATCGAAGTAGCTGGTTCTAGCCGCCCCTTGTTGTTCGTCTAGACATGGCAAGCAGTTGCCCATCTTCGGCGAAGTATGAGATACAAACCAATATTTTTTAATGATTATTGAGCCCCTCGACCACAACCCTTCCCCCCCCACGTGATATTATATACCAATGCGAGGAATTGATTCAACGATGAAAGGCACCCACCATCGCGCCTACGGTGATACGTTCCGACCCTCCATCCGATAAGCAACATTCGACATCAGCAAGCGTGGACAATACCTCTCCCACTCTGTGCACACCCATCTTTTCATCACCGCACGAGATGATACCCTCTACCAGCGGGGGGATAACCTGTACGAGAGAAAACTGGTAGCGGTCAACAAGTGACATGAGCGTTGTGTACCCAACCGAAAAGCTTTGGTTGAGCAGCACGTCGAAAATCGCACTGGTTTGGGCGGGGGAGGGTAAGCCACACGTAGTATACACGGCCTGGTCGTCGCGCACAGTAAGGGTTGTGGCGTCACCAAGGCTGAGGCTCTGTAAAAGGTTGATGCCTTGCCTCGCATCTCCCGCGCAAACGTTCACAACAGNAATAACCAAACAAATATCGAAAGGAAAATATCCAAATTTTCGGCCCCGTCAGTCCACTTGGCTGACACGGTCTCCACAGGGTCTTCCCAGGGTGTGCACCCCGCCAGGGTCCCTGAGTGGCAGGGTACGTACAGGGTACCCTGGCAGGGTACCCACCCTGCCTCACACTGCGTTTGGGTCAAGTCTACAGGGTAGTTTTCTGGTGACCTTGCCAGGGTGAAATTTCCCCACCCTGGCAGGGTAGCCGAATGGCTACAGGTGTACTACTGCTGTCTGAAGTGCTGTCTGTACAATAATAACACCATGGTGCATGGTACACAAGCTCGGGGCGTGCAGCTGCTTTGCTGTCTGAAGTGCTGTCAGAATGAGTCCGTGGACATATAATGAATGAACAAGAACACCCAACCAAGGCCATCATTGCAGTAGCCCCGGTGGTCTGGTTGGTAACCTCGAAACCTTCTGGAGATCAGGTCAGGGGTTCGAATCCCGGCGTAAGCGAGCTTTTCTTGCAAAGTGAGTTTTTCTCTCGCTTCCGCTCCTGGCCCTAGGTGGATAGCGCTATAATAGTTCGTGTGTACACAGAGGGAAGAGAGTGCCGAACTCTTCTCGCATTAAAAATCGAAGGCAAAGTACCGCAGGAGGGGAGGGTAGAGAGGGGCTCTTCTGTGTGACCACGGGTTGGAGAAAACGGCACTAGTGCCGTGAGCGCTGATTTGAAGTGAATACCAAAAAAAAAAAAATGCAATTAATTGACAATCACCCGAATCTATCCAGGTCATCTGTGTCAGGCACAGCAGTGTAAACATCGACACTGACTAGGAATCGTTCCACATTGAAGGGGTCTTCTGCGATGCAGGCACACAATTAAAAGCACCGGGGTTATCCGCGCCATCTCTGCCGCGTCTCTTTACAAAACCAGTGACGTCATCACACGCACCCAACACCTGTATTCAGCCGAAACAAACGGAAAAATAGAGAATACTAATATTACCTAATCAGGATCTTTAAGTTTCAAGGAGATCAGTCTGCATTTCGGCGCCCGGACACCTTTCGGTGCGAATCGAAGCCCGTGAGCGTTCTGCTGTGTTCAGCGGTAACAGCGCGCCTGCTCCGGCCCCGGGACTCGCCCTACACGCCGAGCTACGGCCGCTGAAAGCCGGAAGCGGGCGCACCCCGTGACGTCATCCCATTCATTTAGCAAGACGGGCGTCTGCGACAGATTGTGGATCTTTGAGAATAACAGGAATCAGCGATAGCTCGGCGCACACGCGCGCTCAGAACGTCCCCGAAGCGTCCATGTGTTCCGTTGAGTCTGGCCGTCATGACGCGCCGCCTCCCGTCTCGAGACTCCCCCTGCTCGCTGAGATGTGGCGGCAAAGAGGTGGGTTGCGGGGAGCCTCCCGTTCATTTTGCAAGACAGGCGATTCCGCCTCTTTCGGGGGGCAGCTGGAAACTCACACATCTGCTGGCGCTCAGCGACGACAAGATATGCGCAGCTCTCCTTTGGGATGTCTCATCTTCGGGGGATTT